GCAGGGACTGTGTCTCATTCATTTCTGTATGCCCAGGGCCTGCCTGGAACAGAGCAGGTGCTCAGGAAAGTGTTTAGTGAATTGAATCAGTGAACGAATGGATGGATGAATGAAAGCAAAGGGGCCAAGGAGAGAGGCCTGGGCCTCACTGTGCGACAGACCAAGACCTCAAATGCCTTTGGGCCTCGGTTTCTCACTCTGTATAATGACCAGGTTAGATTACACGACCTGAGATCCCTCCCAGCAGGACATGCCAGGATCCTGGAAATCCCGCTACAGCTACGCCCCGGGCCTCCTTGGAGCTCAGGTGACCGGGGACAAGCACCTAACTCACACAGATCTGGCCCGCAGTGGGGACTGTCCCAACCAGCCCCCTGAAGACACACTTCTCCCTGGCTAAGGGCCCCAGGACAAACTCAGCAAGGACAAACCCATTATACAGAGGGGGAAACCGAGGCCCAGAGAGCACCCATATCTTCCTCAAGACCACATGGTTGTGTCACGCAAAGCTGGAGGAAGGACCCTAGCGTCTTGCCCTCCAGTCCTGGTCCTGACGGTCCAGAGCAGAGGGCAGAAAACTTGGGTGGGATGAGGCAAACCCAGCTCAGCCCGAAGCAGGAAGGGGAAGCAACAGCTGGGGGAGCAGAGAGAGGGGCCCAGCAGGAAGGAATTTGATCCTTTTCCTGGCTGGGGGCTGCGGGCACCTGGGAGGCACCACTCCTCCGTCTCCCCCTCACCCCCTACCTCCTGCGCTGGGACCTGGAAGATACGCGGGGCGCCTTTAACCCCTTCCCTCCCAAGATGGTTCCCTCGACCGTCAGCCTTCCAAGGCCTCCGTCTAAGGGTCTCGGCTCTGCTAGGGCCTTCGGCTGTCTCCCAGCTCCTTCCACCTCTCGGGCCCCCTCCCTGCCACCTTCCAATCCCCAGCCCGCCCTGGGATGGCTGCCTCTGCGCCTGGTGTGAGAAGCAGGACACTCAGTCCGAGTCCTGGCTGAGCTGTCTGATGCAGGCTGGCCCCATCCTCCCTGGGTCTCAGTGTCCCCGTTCCCACGCCCCCGCCCGACCCGGAAGCCTTACCCCTTTGCCATACGGGTGTGTGAGCCAGCCGAGTTCCCCTTTAGCCGCAGCGAAGTCCAACAGTACCACTGCAAGAGACAGGAGAGGAGGCCAATTAAGTCTGGGGGTATCTCCAGGGGTCAGGCCATGGTGGAAAAGGTGAGAGTCCCTCAGGATCCCCAAGAACCCTTGCTGGCTTCCTCAGCCCTCAGAGAGAGACCCCACTATACAGGGTCACCATATCCAAGAGACTCACCCCTCAATACATAGGGAAACAGAGGCCTAGGGAAGGGGTGGGACCCAAAGTCACAGAGCAGGTTGGGTGAGGACTAGGCCTCCGGTCTCCTAGGCCACAGCTCCAGTCACGCCACCTTCTCGGTCAGCCTCCAGCTGGGCACAGCGGGACAGAGCTCAGCGCAGTGGGGGGACAGCAGCTGGGCAGAGAGCTGGGGCCGGCAGGGTTGGGCTGTTAAGTGACACCCTGGCGTCCCGTCTGCTCCCTGGAAGGAGGCCCCTGGACTGCCCTTCACACGCAGGCGGGCTCTGGGTGCCCTGGTGTCCTCTCCTGCCCGCCCCCTGCCCCCAGCATGAAAGACCCTCAGCCCCACCTCACACATATGTACGCACGTGTCCCCTGGCACTCCCAGGAGGGAGGGCAGTTAGCAGGTGGGAACGGCTCCAAGGAGGGGAGGGGGAGCCAGCGGGGGGTGTCTGGAAACCGATCTTCCCACCACAAAAGCCGCAGAGCAGGCAGGATAAAGCCCCGAACCCACAGGGGCTTTTAGGAGGGGCCCAGAGACGCATGCAGCTGGCGAGGTCCCCTCCTCGGGAAAGTCGCTCTCACCGCCCTGTCCCTCATCCCCCGGCCACTGCTCGGCCAGGGGTGCCTGTGGGACGGGGAACGGAAACCCCTAGAGGGGATTTCCAGGCCCAGGGGGACCAGGTTTCAGGACAATGCCGTCCCCAGAGAGGCAGCTGGAACCTGAGGGAGGGACGCGCTGCCAGGGGCTTCCTTAGATCCAGCAGCTCCCATCCGTCCACCCTGGCTCTCTGCCAGACTCGCGGCGGCAGCCAAGTCCCCAAACCCTGGGCACGGCCCCTCCTCCCTTCCCCAGTAAAGTCCAGGTAGCCACCATCCAGCGCCACCCGCCCTGGAGGACAAGGAGACTGGGAAGCCGAGGCGTGGCGCCTAAGCAAGGTCCCCGGACTCAGAGGGTACAGCCCAAACTCGGAAAGGGTGAGGGGCCAATACCCCTTCCTTTGGACCCTGGAGCACAAGCAGTACGGGCCCAAAAAGCACCTGCACGCCTGAAGGCCAGGACCGGGGGCTGGGGGGAGGCGGGGGGGGAAGGACTCTGAGGGTGGGGCTCCAGGCAGGCAGGGAGCAGAGCGGGACCTGGTTTGGAGGGTGGGGTGAGGGTGGGTCAAGCAAGGGAGCTGACGGGAGTCTCAGAAATCCTTCCCGAAGGTGAGGCTGCCTGGCTGGCCTGAACTGACGTCCTGGGTGTCAGGCACGGCCACCTGACTGCTCACCGGGGCCAGATCTCTCTAGGAAGGGTCCGGCAGCCCAGACGAGGGATCGGAAATCCGAGGTGGCACCTGCCCCAAGCCCGCGAGGGCTGGGTAGCGGGGCTGGAGGGTGGATGGGGCAGGGATGTGTTCAGACATGCCCGGAGCCCGAGCTTGGAAAAGTCACTAATTCCTCTAATAAATGGAATGTTCCGGCTGTACAGGAAGGAGTCTGGAGGTTCCTGGCTCCGGCTGGGTGGGTCGGAGGACAACGGTGAGCGGCCCTCACAGCCCTGCACACCCCTCCCCGGACAGGGAGGAAGCTGCCGTCCAGGCCCCAGGGAGGGAGAGGGCTCACGGCTCCCAGGCTCTGAAGGGTTAACCTGACACGGAGGGTCCCCCACCACCCCTGCCAGAGGCTCCTCTTCCAGCCCCCAGGCCTGGCTCTAGAAGTATCACAGGGCTCGATCTGAGTGGACAAAAAGCCTGCACACAGGAAGGAGCCCCCTCCCGGGAAATTCCCTAGAACCGATCACCAGGAACAGGAGCCCAGCCCTGTCGGCCCCTCCGCCCTGACTTGGGTGCGGCTCTCTCCTCGGCTCTCTCCTGAGCTCTTCCTGGGACTGGGGCACCTGCTTCCCTGAAAGGGGGGTTCTGGGGGCCCCTCACCTGCCCCAGAAGGCTTCACCGAGAGGCCTGGGGTGGGCAGGGCTCATCCAAGAGCTCCGGGTCCCGCACCCCGCACCTAAAGCCTCCTTCTCTGCCTTAGGTTCCATCACCACTGTCGCCCTTGCAGGTGCAAATGCGATACTACGACCCACGCCCCTAGTGTCACCTCCCCGACTCCCCGCCCCTCTGTAACCAAGACTGGCTAAAGGGGGAGGCAAGAGACGCTGGGGGAGCCCTGGCCAGTGTGGCTCAGTTGGCTGGAGCATCATCCCATCAACCGAAAGGCTGTGGGTTCAATTCCTGGTCAGGGATGTGCCTGGGTTGTGGGTTCGGTTCCTTGTGGAGGCACCTACACGAGGACAACTTATTGTTTCTCCTCACATCCATGTTTCTCTCCCTGTCTCCCACCCTCCTCTCTCTCTCTCTCCCTCCCTTCCTCTCTCTCTAAAAATCAATCAGCATGTCCTCGGGTGAGGATAAGCTCTGTGGGGGGAATGAAGAAGAAAAGGAGAAAGAGGGCAAAAAAGGCTCTTTCAGAATCAAGAAGCCAAGGACTTTCCTGCTCAGGCCTCCTGAGCACTCTCCAGGCCTTTTCCCATCAGCCACCGCGAGCCAGCAACCCCAGTACCTCTGCCCAGCTATTCCCGCCGCTGCTCGGGAGAATCCACCATGAAACCACAAGGAAGGCGCCCTGGGCTCTGGCAGCCCAAGAAGCCAGATGCTCAGCTCTGACCCTGGCTGTGCAGACGGCCCTGACTGGCGAGGGCTGGGGCCTCCCTCAGTTTCCCCTTCTGTAAAGACTCACTGTCTTTTGAGAATCTAACGGGCTCCATCTGGGTCTCCAAATGCAGCCTGGCTCCCCTACCCACGGGGAGGAGCGGGGCGAGAAGGAAGGGAACTGATCAGCAGCCCGGGTAAAGGTGCAAGGGGCATGTGCATCCTCTCCCCTGCAACCCACCCCTTAGGCACATCCACCCCATCCAGCCTGAATCCCAAAGAACGTAAGACAGCAGCTGCCAGCTGGGCGGTCATTCCCCGTGGCCCCCCCACACCCGGGCCCCCCGCCCCGCCAAAGGCACACCTCCCTGCTGGAGTCGTTCACGAGGACCCACTCCTGAAGCCTGCAAGGAAACGTAGCCCGGTCCCAGGGCTCTGCAACACACACCCTGTGCTCCCCCACCCCATGGAAGTAGGGGGCTCGTCATCCAGGCTGGAGATGGGACCCACATGGGAACACAGGGACAAGGCAGCTCCAGGCTTCCAGGCTGCTGGCCGGGGCGGCTGGATAACAATCGCCCAGCGGCGTCAGGCCAGCCTAATCCCCCCGCCCCCACGGGCAGCCTTTGAGAAAGGCCTGTAGTGATTCCAGCTGTCTCTCCCCTTCTCTACAACCACAGTCCCCCAAGGAAGGGGGAGGACCAGAAGCTGATGGAGCGGGGCGGGCGGGGGGGGGGGGCGAGGTATGGAGGGTCACAGAAATCCCCGCCACCCATGCCTCCTGCCTGCAAGTTGGGACCGAGAGCCTTGGCTGGGCTGGGACAGAGGCTGGGACAGAAGGCCACCGCCATACACCTCCTCCCCCAAGCGCTCCAGCTCTGATTTTACCTCCCAACTCGCCAGAGCCAAGCCTCCAGCCTCAGTCTGGGAGGTGGAAAAAGAAGGCAAAGCTCAAGGAAACTCCTCACAGGGCCCAGGCTTCCTCTGCACGTCCCCCTGCTGGAGCCTGGGAAGCCGCCTTCTGGCCCGGGGCCGGTGGGGAAAACTTGTTCTCACTTTTGGACACTGAACTCGGCCTCTGCTGGCTGGACAGCAAGATCCTTGGACACGAGCAGGAGCCCCCATTCTCTCTTGGACCCTAGCTGAGCGGCAAAGCCCTCGTCCACGCACCGGCCAGCCCAGGGCAAAGTCTGTGGTCCCCTCGCCCGGCACCATTCTGGGAGGCTCCGGGGCGGGGGTGAGTGATTCAGTCCTCAGCCCCGGGTGCCGGGACACCTTGGTGGCCGTGGGGTGATGGCTCCACACCTTGAGAGGCCGCGCCTCCACCTGCCGCATTTCCTCTTTCTGAGTCACCCACTTGCTCAGAACGCTTGACTTTGGGACTTCCTGTCCGCACTCCCGGCCGCGAACCTGCCCCCCGAGCCTGGGAGTGCGGGATGGGAAGGGGGAAAAGGTGCGTGGGCAGACCGGCCCGAAACTCCCCTCGCGCTCTCGCTCCGGACTGGAGGGAAAAGGGGGCGTGGAGAAAATCTCAGGGAGCGGGGACTTCCGCAGCGTGCTCCCCGCCAGCCGAACAGCCCCCTCCCCAAAATGAGGGGCCTCCACTGAAATGCCTTCTTCGCAAAAGCGAAGCAAACAGGTTAGTGAATTCAGGTCCCCAAGAGGCTGAGCCTGCACACGGAGAGCCCTCCCGACACCCCCTTCTCCAAGAAACCCCCGCACCCCGCCGGGACGCGTTCCTGAAGCCGCCGCCGGAGCTGCGACCACGCGGCCCGCGTCGCGTTCCCTTCTCCGCGGCCTCCGAGCTCCCCACTCCCAGGCCGCTACCCCTTAGACCCCGCGGCCCCTAAAACCTCGGGAGGGGATCCCAGATTCGTCCCAATCGCAGCCCGCGCGCCCGGACTGAGCGGCGCCGGGTCCGTTTCCAAAGTTGCGCGCGTCAAGGCGCTCGGGGCTCCGGGAGGCGCCGAGGTCGGGGAATCCGGCTGCCGGGGCTGTGTCGGGCTGGGGCGTCTGCCGCGAACACACTCACCTTCCTTGCCCTGCGCCGCGACGGCGCCCAGCACGCAGCTCCACAGTAGGGAGAGGCAGGCACGGGGCGCCGGACGCTCCATGCCGCGCTCCTCGCTTTTTGCCCGATCTGTGCTCAGCTCCGGCACACCCGCACGCCGGCCTCGGTGTTCTGCTCCCGCCAGCTGCTCGAGCGCAACTTCTGCACCTCCTGCGCCTCCTGCCCCAAATCCTTAATGGAAGTTGGGTGAGAACCGGCTCGTGTTCATTCATGCCCTGCGCCGACGTCACCTAAGCCACGCCCTCAAGAATGTCTTTAAAGGGGCCGGGCTGGCACCCGGAGAGAAGGGAGGGGAAGTCCCAAGAGGTTGGAGAGGACCGTGAAGTCCTCTGGACTCACTGGCGCCCCCACTAGGCCCTCCGACGTTTGAGCGCCTCAAAGTGTCAGCACCCGCAGGGCTAGTCTTAGGTGATCCCGGAGCCGGGACCCTGGGCCCAGGCGCCGCAATGGCGACGCAGAGCCTCCCCACTCTCACCCTTTGCCCTCTGGGACCTGGCTGACCGTTGGCCTGGCCTGAGACCTGGGCTAAAATAGGCAGGGTGGCGGGAGGGGCAAGAAGCAGTTGCCTCCTTAGCAGCATGCATAGGAGGGGAGCTGCAAAATAGACCCACATGCCCTTCTTCCTGGACCTCTGAAGTTGGGGAGAGCACTTCTGCTCAGGGGTCTCTAAGAATACAGTAACTTTCAGCCTGAACCTGAACCTTTCGGTCTCTCACCTTCCTGCCTGAACTACGTGAGCTTCAGCACCCGCTCCAGCTTCTCCACTACCAGACCCTGGGCTCCGGGCAGTCAGGCAGGCAGTGACCTGGCCCACCAGCATCACGGCCTCTGTCCATGCAGGCGCCTGGGCCTCGGGCTCCCAGATCTCTGCACCGAGCTCCACCATGTCCAGAGGTGTCTAGGGGTCTGGGGGACTTGCCCTGGAGATGGCTGGGGGTATGGCTGGCCTAGGGGGCATGTGGAACGAGAAGGAGACTATGCAATGCCTGAATGACCACCTGGCCTCCTACCTGGAGAGGGTGAGGAGCCTGGAGGCTGATAATCCGAGACAGAGACTGGAGACCCAAATCTGGGAACAACTGGAGAAGGACGGACTGAGGGCATGACAGACTGAGGGCATGACTTCAAGGCCAAGGCTCTCATGGAGGAGCTACTCTTCGTGAAGAACCACAGGGAGGAAGTCAATGGTCTGCAAAACCGGACTGCCGGCTCTGAGTTGACCATGGAGTTGGATGCCCCCAAATCTCGGGACCTCAGCAAGATCATGGTAGGCATCTGGATCCAGTGTGACAAGCTGGCTCAGAAGAACCGAGAGGAACCCTGGCTGGCGTAGCTCAGTGGATTGAGCGCGGGCTGCGAACCAAAGTGTCCCAGGTTCGATTCCCAGCCAGGGTACATTCCTGGGTTGCAGGCGGTGACCCCCAGCAACCGCACATTGATGTTTCTCTCTCTCTCTCTCTATCTCCCTCCCTTCCCTCTCTAAAAATAAATAAATAAAGTCTTAAAAAAAAGATGAAGACTTTAAAAAAAGAAGAAGAAAAAGAAGAACCGAGAGGAGCTAGATGAGTCCTGGTCCCAGCAGACTGAGGACAGCACCACAGTGGTCACCTCGCAGACGGCTGAGATAGGAGACATACAGTCCAGTCCTTGGAGATCAACCCGGACCGATGAGAAGTCTGCAGGCCAGCATGGAGAACAGCCTGAAGGGGGTGGGGACTGCCGTGCAGATGACACAGCTTCATGAGATCCTGCTGCATCTGGAATCAGAGCCCGCCCAGACCCAGCCAGGGGGCAGTGTCAGGCCCAGGAGGAAGGGGCCCTGCTGAACATCAAGGTCAAGCTGGAGGCTGAGATCGCCACCTACCCCCACCTGCTGGAAGAAGGGGAGGACGTCCATCTTGGTGGCACTCGCCAACAGCAACTCCACATAGTCCACTCAAACAACCACCCCCTGTAGGACTGTGGATGACAATGGTCTCTGAGGTCAAAGACACCAAAGTTCCGAGGCATGAAGGCAGCAGAAGCAGGGCATCCCTCGGCAGGGCAGGAGGCCAATAATAAGAAGTTCAGAGACCACTGAACATAAAAATAATACAGTAACCTTGGAGCAGCCGCGTCTAAAAGTGAATCTGACACAATTATCTCATATAATTCTCATCTGGGAGGTGGGTATTATTACCCCACCTTATAGAGGAGGAAACAGGAGGCTCTGAGGGCTTAAACAGTATGCCCGGAGGTTGCACAGCCCAGAGGTGGAAGAGCTGGGATTTGAACCTGGGTAGTTTCCACTTCAACCACTGCCCCGTACAGGGTAAGGGTGGACAAGGCGCTGCTGTGCAGAGCACCCACCCCCGACCCCGGCACGGACAGAATCGGTTGGTCTGTTTGATACTTTGGAGGACACCTGTGTCCCTTCTGCCCCTTCCAGGGGCCTCTCCCCAAAGGGTCCTCAGACATGAGCTCACCTTCCCTCCTGACGGAAGCGGCTGGCATTAGCGAACAAACGGGAAATGTCCTCTCACCTGCCTGCCTGGCCACCCACGGCTGCTGTTGCCCAATCGCCTTGTGGCCAGTCGGGGAGGAGCAGCTGTGGCAGGCCTGATTTCCTGGGAGAACCGAGCCCCTTCTGCCGCCTCCTTCTCTCCAGCCCCATCCTCTGCTTGACTCCCCTGGACCCCCTTGCTGCCTCGACAGCTCCTCTGGGCCACTCTCGTACCCAGGTCCTCCCTGCCAGATGTGGGCTCCTCGGCCTCTCGGCCGTGGCGCCTACCGTTGGGAAGCGGGTCCAGACATCTCCCCTGGAGGGGAGGGTTAATTACAGGTGTTGGGGTGGTGTAATGAAAGCCTTTGACCAGCGTGGTCGGAGGAGAGTCTTGGTCTTCTGAGAGTGAGTGTGCAAGCGTCTGTGAGAGTGAGTGTCTGTGAACGTGTCGGTGTGTGTGGACACACTGGTGTGGGTGTGTGAGCATGTGTGGACACGAGAGGATTTGCCTGTGTGTGTGAGCGCTACACTAGGCAGTGGGCGAGAACAGAGACTACGGAGTCAGCCCGTAGTTTTTGAACATTTCACTTCTTAGAGTCTCGGTTTGCTCGTCTGGAAGATGTAGAAACCTGCTTCAGAGATCACATGACGTCATGCACGTAAACCACATGGGCCATGACAACAGAACGCGCTTGTGAAATCTCAGCTGCTGTTAGGTCACACGGGACACAGCCAGAGGAAGTGGCAACTGTGGAGAGAGGGACACAGGGCTCGTGCACAGAGCGCCTCAGTGTGTGTGTGTGTGCGTGTGCACTACACAGTACGGATAAGTGTTTTGCATGCTGCGTTGAACCTCTAGGCTGTGGACACTGTGCTGAGTGCAAGACTTCACATGTGTTGGATGTGAGACTCTGCCTGTACCTGTGTGTTACATGCCATTTGCAGCCTCTGCATGTTGGATGTGCCCCTGGAAGACACGCTCCAAGGGGGCAGGGAGTTTGTGCAAAACAGACGGCGTCTGATGCATGGTGCGTGTCCAGCAAACCTTTGCTGCACGAATGACCTCGAGAGTGGGCGGCAGTGCTGGCCAGTTCCGTGTTGGTTGGTCGGTCCTGTGGGTGGCACGTGTGGGTTTCCACGCATGGCTCCTCATGCATGGAAGGCTGAACCCACGTGCTCGGGGTGCAGACAGGCCCCGCTCACTGACTGTGTGGGCTGTGGGGCTGAGAGCACCACACGGAGTCAGAGCTGCTCACCTCTGACGTGCAGCGTGGGCAGAGGCCTGTGAGAAGGGGCAGAGTGTGAGGTGGCGGGAGGGTAGGGGGTGGGGCGGCTCCTTTGTCCTTAGTCACTCCCCTGGTGACACACTCTCCCCTCTCTTCCTGTTCCAGCCTGGAGCCTTTCCCGCCCTGGGTGACTGACTGGATGCTGAGAAGGAAAGTTCTGCAGTGAGTCTTATAAAGCGGCACTGAACGACGGTATTTATGGCGACGTAATAAGCCCTAATGGAGATGGAATTACCCCGTAAAGGCCCCAAAGAGCCCTCGGGGCCCGAGCGCCAGGGCAGCTCCCGAGGCTTCTGGTTCAGGCGGGGGGGGCCCAGGTGTGTTCGGGTGCGGCTGCCCAGCCTCACCTGCTCATCCCCACCGACAGTAGCCCACCAGCCTTTTCAGGGGGCTGGAGCAAGCAGAGGACAAAGACAAACGTTCAGACAATAGTTTCACTCACCCCACCATCGTCTGCACCTGCCTCTGGCTAAGCACCAGAGAAAGTCGCTGTAGCCGACACTCAAAGCGCTTGCGCTGGGCCAGGCCCGTTCTCAGCACTTCGCCTACACTGACCCCATTAGTTCTCATCGTGCTCCCCTGAGACGGGCAGCCTTACTACCCCCACGTTGCAGAGGAGCAAACTTGCTTGTAGAAGTTGGAGCTGGCCCTGGCCAGTGTGGCTCAGTGGGTTAGAGCGTTGTCCCATGAACCAACATGTTGCCGCAAGTTCGATTCCTGGTCAGGGCCCATGCCTGGGCTGCAGGTTCAGTGCTCCGTCCTGGGTGTTGGGGCGCATACAAGAGGCGACCAATTTGATGTTTCTCTCTCACATCGATGTTTCTCTCCGTCTCTTTCTCCCTCCCTCTCCAAAGCATGTCCTCCGGTGAGGATTAAACAATAAATAAATACAAGTCGGAGCTGGATTCTAGCCCGCAGTCCGGATCCAGCACACACCCTCCCGGGTCCCTCTCTTGTCCGCTGCCTCTCCAGGCACCGAGTCGCCCAGAACCCAGAGAACCACCCCCCAGCCGGGAACGACACGCTGCTCCCTGGCACCAGAGTCTTCAAGCCTGTCTAATGTCAAGCTCCCAGGGACACGGCCCTCCCTTGAACCGAGCCCCCACACTCCAAGCCCCCTGGACTCTTCCGTGTCTTCTGGAGCCTCTGAACCGCCTGTCTCCCCAACGAGATTGTGAGCCCTCCAAGGCAAGGAACGGATGAAACACCCCTTTGCATTCCTGGCACCAGCTCCAGCTGTGCCGCGTGCGCGCACACAGGAGCCATTCGACAGAGGCTCACGTTTGATGCCGAGGCTCCAAACCAGGGCCCTCCATGTATTTCCATTCGCATTCCTTAAAGGGCTCCTCCTGGCCAAGCCACGTTCCCCCGTTGCAAACTGCCCGCAGCCCTGAAGGCAAAAGCTGATAAACACTGTCCCCATCGCTGCAGGTGAAGACGTGAGGCTCAGAGAGGAGAGGCGCCTTGCCTGAAGTTACACAGCTAGTACACGGCAGAGGGAGGACTGAAAGGGAAGTGTGTCTCCCCCCCACGGCCCGTCTGCCTGCTCTTTCTGGAACGCTCCATGTTTTTATACCTGCAGCCCTGTGTCCAAGCTGCATCCTCTCCCTGGATGCCCTCTCCACCTCCGGGACTCCCACTCCTTCTTCAAGACCTATCGTGGAGCCACATAGGAGAAGGGGAACACTGGAGCCCCCAGTGCAGGCGACGGCCTGGTCTCTCCTGTATGCAACACAGATCTGGTGGGTGGATCGATGAACGGTGCAATGGGGGCCCAGCAGACCACCATCCCCCCACTTATCCGACTGTGTAGCCTAGGACACGCGCCTCGTTTATCTGGAAAATGGGCGTGGCGACGCTCTCCACCGTCCAGGACTGCCGCTGGGGTTAAGCGAGGTCCTATCTGTGAAGCCCTTAGCGCAGCGTCTGGCACACGGTGAGTGTGGGTACATCTTAGCGATTGTGACCTTCACCGTCAAAAGTCGCTTCTGCGGAGCGGGCTGTTCGCCCTGGAACAGCCCTCCGTTCTCAGGCTGCCCTGCAGCGACTTCCTCGCTTTCCTTCCGCTTTAGGCAGGGAGCTCCTTGAGGGACAGGGCCCCGGTTTTTGTTGGGGTTTATTTTTAAGATTTTATTTGTTTATTTAGAGAGAAGGAAAGGGAGGGAGAAAGAGAGAGGGGGTAAAACCGATGTGTGAGAGATCATCAATCCTTTGCCGCTCTGCACGCCCCCAGCGGGGGCCTGGCCTGCAGCGCCTGCACGGGCCCTGACCAGGAATCAAACCGGTGACTTTCGGTTTGCAGGCGGGCACCCAATCCACTGAGCCACACCAGCGAGGTCCAGACTCCTGGTTTTATTCCATTTTCCCCTACAGTAGGCACTCAGTAAATGTTTGGGGGTTGCATACACATGGGGGTATCAGGGCCTCATCGTTTTCAAAAGAACATATTCCCAAATGGCAGCTGCAAAGTGAAACTCCATGTTGAGCTTTTCAGGTGAGCTTTTTGGGGTGAACGTGCCTGAGCAGTTTTGCTGAGTTCCCCTCCCCCAGGGAGGCGGTTTGAGGCCAGGGGGAGGAGAAACTTAAATATCGGTGCCCGCATTTGGAGGGGGGCAGTGTGGGAGGAAGCCCCCCATAATTGCGGGGCTTCCCCCACCCCCAGAGCTGGGTTAGAGGCTGTGCTGCTTCCTTTGGGGCTTGGTGAGACTTCCTGGGACCCTTTGAAGTGGCTTCCGGATAAATCCTGCCCGCAGGGCCTGGATACGGGGCGGAGCCTCCGAGGGGGGCGGGGCCGCAGCTTGAGTCCCCCAGCCTGAGCCTGCCGCGGGGGCACTGCCTTCCGCCCACCTCCCGCCTCCCACCCGGATTTACAACCCTGGTCCTCTGGCTCCTGGATCCCGGCCGTCACCCCTCATTCTTCATGGTTTTCCCTTCCCCATCTGGTCGCATCCTCCTACCCTTCCAAACTCAGTTTAGATCCCCCCACTCCCCAAAGCCTTCCCTGACGACTCCGACCACTGGCCTTTCTCTCTTCTGAGTGCCAGCCTTTAACCAGGTGGGTTTTGTTTTTTTTTTAATACAAAGTGCCCCACTTCTTGAGCCCGGGTTGTGAGCCAGGCCCTGAGCTAACTAAGGGCTCTCTGCAGCACCACCTCAGTGCCCACGAGCACCCTGAGAAGAAGGGACTCTACCCTCCTTTTACAGATGAGAACTTTGACCTTCAGAGAAGCCAGCCACTTGCTCAGAAGTATCTCCAGAACCTTGCTCGGAGCCCCCAATCCCCTTGACCCCAAGCCGCCCTTGACCGTGCATGGGGAACTAGTTTATAGCACACCCTGTGAAAGGGAATCTTCGGAGATAAAGCCCAACCTCCGTGTTTTACGAAGGAGGAAGCAGCCTACGGCAGGGGAAGGACTTGCTGGAGGTCCCAGAGGCAGCCCTGGCTCCTGCCTTCTCCGTTGGTCACTTGTCCTGTCCCCAGTGCAGCCCCCAAAGGCTGCCTGCTGCGTGGAGGGTGCTGGTCACCTGTGAAGTAGGTGAATTGAGAACGCAGAGACCGACGGCCTGCCCCAGGGCTCCTGCACTCGCTGTTGCTCCAGTCCCCATCACCCCCTCCCCCGCCTCTTTTCCTGGCTGGCCCCTCCTTCAGAACCCTGCTTGAAGGTCAGCTCATTGGCAATACTTGACCCGATCACCCACCCCTGGACTCCCCCCTCCCTTCCCTGCGGTCTTTGTCTCCACTGCACGAGCTGCCACGTTCTACATGTTATTGCTTATTGTGTATTGTCTGCCTCCTCCTCCTCCCCGTGCAAGTGTAAGCTCCGAGAGGGTCGGGTTGCCGCGGGCCTCACTCCCCAGCAAAGTGGCACTGAGAACTCACCCAGTAGGACCTGGGCTAGTTACTTCTCCTCTCTCTATCCCTTTCCTCCTTGGTAGATTGGGGGTAACAGTGGCCCCCCATCTTAGAGAGGTGTGAACACGGCACAGGCTACTACACGCCAAGCACCGAGCTCAGCCACACCCAGACGCCTGCTATGAACTCCAGGACGACTAAGGGACTAGTGGGAGACTCCTGCTGCTGCAAGAGGTGGGCTGACCGGCGCCCGGGGCCCCCGTGGCCTCCCCTGTGTTCCAGGATCTTTGACTGAGGCCCCAGGGTGCTCTGACCTGCCAGGTGCTTTTCCCGAATTGCCTCATTTCATCCTCACCACAGGCCCTGGGAGCAGCCTGTTCCCCATTTCACAGACAAAGAAACTGAGGCTTAGACAGGTGAAGGGACAGCTCAATGCCACACGAGTTAAGTACAGAGCCAGGAACTGAACCCAAGCCGCCCAGTGCTACTCGGCTAATGGCATGACCTCCCCACCTCGTGTCCCCCTCAGTCCCCTCCCTGCTCTGCAGTCTGATGGTCTAACCTGACAAGCAGAGTTCCCGGGGCAGATGTGGCAAGGGGGAGGGGGCTGTGGGTGACCAGGGGCTGAGGGGACCCTTCTGGCATCCCAGGGTCATCACTTACTGTGAGACCCGGGGAAGGAGCTTCACCTCGTACCCAGGGCTTCTGTCTTCTCCCCAGGCTGGCCAGGTGGGGATAAAAATAATGCCATACCCACCTGGTTGGGGAGCGGGCCAGGAAGGTATGAAAAACCATTGGTGCAATGCCCGGCACATGGCAAATCCTCAGCAAATGTCAGCAGTGATTGTTTTTATCACTGACAGCATATTTGGGGGCCCGGGCTGGCACCGTACCTGCCAGGTGCCACCCTGCTTCCTGTGTCCCGACAGTCTGGCTGCTGGCCTGGTGGGGGCCCAAGAGGAAGATGGGGGGAGGGGAGGGGAGTTGCTCTGTTTGTTTTCTGAGACCCTCCAGGTGTGACCTGGCCCCTGCCCCTCCCTGGTAGCACCCACAACGGCATGCAAGGCCCCCGTCATCAAAACCGGCCCAGGTCCCCTTCAGGCCACGCTTTCTGGATAAACCCACCAGGACTCATCCACCCCCCCGGGGAGGGGCAGGGATCACACACTCCTGGATCCTCTTTCCTCCGTGGCACCAGCCTCTGTCCTCACGGGCTGACACACAGCAGGGAGTGCCGAGAACACAGCCCCGCCCAGCGCCGCGCTTATCTGCGTATACACCCACACCCACCCACCCACACACACACACACCCCTTTCCTGCACGCACATCTCAGGGGCTCTGTGGGGACCACCTCAGCACAGGAGGAGGGCTCCTACCCCGCCACCTCCGTTCCTCCTTCCTGTCCTGTGTCCCTCCGTGTGTCTATCCGTCTCTACCAGCCAATCAGTCAGCTCCAGTGGGGCCCAGGTCACTCCTTCCCAGGTCAGCTCCCCCTCCCCATCCCCCCATCCACAGTCTGTCTGTCTGTCTGTCTGCAGCTAGCTCAGTCCTACACCTCGTCTCTGCCACAGCCTCCCCAGCGAGACCCCGCCCCTCCCTCAGCCGGGTCTTGTCACTCCTCCACCGTCCCTACCCATCCAGCCCCACCCCCTTATCTGTCTCCCTCGGCCGTCAGCCTGTCTGTCCATCTATCCGCACTGCTTCCTTCCTCCCCCATCTGCCGGGCCTCTCTCAGCCCTCTCTGGGTCCCATCCATCACTTTCAAGACAGCCGTGCCCAGCCGGGTTGTCACCTCCTGGCAGCTCCCAGCTGCCTGTCAGTCAGTCTGTCCACCAGCCCATCCATCCATCCGTCTGCCATCCCATCCATCATGCCGCAGCCGCTTGTCCGTACTTGCCACCGCTCCCCGATTCTCTGACTGGGCCCCCTGCGGCGCCCCTCAGCCAGCCCCGGCTAGGGGTGTGTGCGTACGAACACACCTGTTCACATCGGTAGGTCTCTCCGTGACCTCTGACACGCATGTGTTCAGTCCTGGGCCCAGCTCGAGGGGCCGGGGACTTGGACGCAGCCCCGCCTCGAGGACCTGGTGTGTGCGGGTGGGGCGGGTGGGCGAACTCGGGAGCGTGGTGGGGGTGAGGGGTCCGGGGAAGAGGTTGGCTGTTTTTCTGTGTATTCTTCCTGCTTGCACTTTCACCACGTGCATCAGTGATCTATTCAAAAAATAAAGATGTAATTTTTTTTTTAAAAAATCCAGCCTCCGTTCTTATCTCCTGATTCCTTAAGAGAGGCTTGACCAGATGCCTCCATGGTTGGGGACTCAGGCACCGCTAGCCCTGGAAGTCCCTGCCTGAGGCCACCCAGTCTCCTCCTCCTCCTCCTCCTGGGCCTGCAGCTGAGACCTCCACACAGGGAAAAGCAGAGAGGTGGAAACTCGGCGGGGGTGGTGGTGGGGAGCCCAGCAAAGCTCCCTGGAAGAGCCGGGCCACGTTGAGAGGAAAAAGCCGGGAGGAGGCCGCAGGGAGGGGAAAGCGGAGCGAGACAATGGGGTTGGCGGGGTGTGGAACTCCAGTGCCCGGCGGCGGCGGGCCAGGGACCTCCGGCTAGGCAAGAGGTCCAGGGAATTAACGCGCCCTGGCAGCGGGCAGCGCTTTGTGGAGGCTGGCGCAGGCAGGGGAGGGGGTGGGGGGAGGGAGTGCCAGGCCCCGGCCCCCCGGATAACTGACTGGTCTCGCACCCTGGCTGCCCGGGCTTCCGGCCCTGCAGGTGCCGCCTTTGAGGGTCGCCGCGTGTGGTTTACTGCCGAGCCCAGGGCTTCCCCGCCGCTAGGAACCGCCTCCGCGCCTCGTAAAAGGGGTGGGGGCCTGGGGAAGGGTGGCCCCTGTCTCCATGGAAACGGGGGCAACCCTGGGGACTGCGGCAGGGGACCGGGACATCCTGGTGTAGTGGGCGGGTGACACTTTATGTAGACAGTTTGCTTGTTCCCCTCAGGCCCCAGCCGCCCCTCCTTCCTGAGCCCCATTAACTGCCCCACCCCCCGTTAAAAATTGTTTCCTCCAGAAGGCCTTCAGCCACTACCACCCGGCCTAGAGGCCTTGGGGGTGCCTCATAACAGTAATAATTAATAATAATCACAGCTGCATTCTGAGCTTTATCTCCGTGCCAGGCACTGGACTACCTGCCTCATGGCCATTACCCCATCCATCATCATTTGTCCTCCTACCGATGCCGAAAGCGAGGCGGCCGAGGAAACTGATGCGGGCAGACAGGCTGCTCCTGGCCTCGAACTGGCAGACTACCCGCTTCTTCTGGTCTCAGTGTCCCACCTGAGAGCGGGAAGGTCGCCCCTGGGGCCTCCCGCCGACCAGCCAGCTGCAGGAGGAGGGCTGCAGGAGCTCGGCCCCAGGCGTGTCTGGGTGCACGCCAGACAGACTGAGGAAGCCTGACTTGGAAGGTCTTCCGATGGGACGTGCGGCTCCAGCGTGCCCCAGACAGAGCCTGTGCCTCATACCCACCCCGCACCATGAGTGCCACCCCTGTGGTCCGCAGTGGGTCTCCCCACGCCAAGCCCCTGATGACTCAAAGCCATCTCTAAGGAGCCTTCCAGCTCCAACATCCTGGAGAGTCCCACCAGGGTCATCCAAGGATGCTATGCTGCCCCTCCCCCGCACCAGATGCCCCTGGGGAAGAGGGGTTGTGCCTCTCCCATTAGACTGGGTCCCCCTGAGGGTAAGTACATCTCTGACACCTACCGAGGTCTGTGGCCATCAGAAATTCAAAGCCCTGAGTGGCTGACCACGCCGGCCCACGGACAAGCGCATCCTGGGCGTCCGCCCCACCCCTCACCCTGCCCCTGAGATCCGGGGTCCCTGTGACTCGGCTCCTGGTGAAAGGACACAGGCTCTGCTGTGGAAACAGATGGTCTCATCCCACAGCCCGAGACCTGTCCCGGACACAGGCTCCGAAGGGGAGAAAGGGGCTCAGGGACCACCTCCTGGGGAGCAGCCACCCAGAACCACCAACCTTCTGCTTAGTGGCCATGCCCGGGGCCTCCAAAATGTGGACAGCAGTCCAGGGAGCGGGCTGTGTTCACGCCCATTTTACAGAGGGGAAGCTGGGTCTCAATGAGGAGAGTCACGTGATTAAGTTCACCACCCCTGCCCCCGTAAGTGGCTGCCCCATGCTTCCCCCCACCCCCTGGCGCCCTGCTGCCCGCCCCGCCCGTCTCACCGCACACCCCACTCCGACTCGAAGCTGGCTGTCGCCTCGTCACCTCCAGTGCTGCGTGAGCGCACTGAGGGAAGGAAGGAAACAGGGTTTGGTTTTGCTCTGTTTTGTTTTCGATCTGAGGCCCCGGTGCCCAGGCCAAGGCCCAGAGCACAACAGGCTTGTCGAATACACCTGATAGGTGCCACTTGTCACCTTCCGCACTCCGGGAAGGAAGGGGCTGCCTCGCTGCAAGTCAACTGAGCCAGGGTTTAGGGAGCACCTGCCGTGTCCCGAGCACTTTGTACATCTTATAGCCCTTCATACAGACCAGCGCATAGGATCGACCCCTGCCCCGTGACCTTCCGTGGCCATTCAGGTACCCATTTTACAGGTGAGGAAACTGAGGCTCAGGGCCAGAGTTGGCCGTTGAAGCCAGATCCACATGTCGTCCGCACACAGCCTCCTCCTCCCCAAGCTGGCATTTCCCTGGGAGAGAGGGTGAGGTCCGCATCGAGTCTGCCTGGGGCCTGGCTGACTTGGGGGTCCACCGCAGAGACAGAGAGCTGCTGCTGGTAGAGGGGTGAGGGCTCCCTTTGGGGTCCTGGGAACCCTGCCCCAGCCCCCCAACTTTATATACACATGTGCATGCACTCCCATGAAGGTGTGTGAGCAAGGCTGTGTGGGCATGTTGCATGTGGGGGGGGGTGAGCAGGGCTGCACAGACTACATGAGTGCCCAGCTGAGCGGGTAGCAATGCACATGTGCCCGTGTCTCCGTTCCCAGGGGAGGGGCGGGAGAGGGAGGTGCTGGCACCCGCTGATATTGTATATCCAGGTGTGCATGCTAGTATGATCCTCATAATATCCTCAGAACCCGGGGCTTAGGGAGGCGAAGCGACTTGCTCAAAACCATACAACTAGCGTGTCTGTCTGTGTGTGTGTGTAGGTGTGTGTCTCTGTGCCTGGGCTGTGTGTGTTCGAGAGCGGTGGGCAGGGCGGGGTGGGGAGGGGCGGGGTGAGGAGGGAGGGCTGCGGCTCTAAGCCTGTAATAGACCCTCCCTGTCTCGCCGGGCCCGGAGCAGCGGGTGGTAATAACTGTTTTGCACAGAGGATCCACCTCGTGTCACAGCCTGAAACGTGCCCCTGGACCGGTCTGACACAGACCCCCACCCTGCCCCAGCTGGAGCCTGACCCTGGGCTGATCCCTGGGGTGTGTGTAAGGGGGAGGGAACGGGGGTGTCTCTGGACCCTGCCCTGCTTTCCTCATCTCCAAACCGGCCTGACCAGGCTCCGCGGGGGAGGGGCTGGGTCGCTCCGCAGTCCCACCAGTTAGCACCCATGCCCGCTTGCCTCCACCCTCAGACTGAAGCTCCCGGGGAAAGGGGATCGTAGCTCCTCCAGCAGACGGGGTTTCTCCTGCAGGAGAGATATTCCCGGGACAGAGGCTGGGACGTCCCCCAGCCCGTCAGCACTGCCGGGCACGTCCCAGAGGAAGTCCCACACACACCTCTCTCAGCCCCAAGCCCTCAAATCAGTGTCCGGTCCCCTCGCCGTAAGCCTGCCAGGGGCGCCGGGGCAGTGGAACAAAACCGCTAAGCAGCCTGGGAGTCAATGGCCCCTGCTCCTCTCCCACCCCACCCTGGCCCAGCCGTCTCCCAGACTTCGGCCGCCCTTCTTTCCCTTATCAAAACGCCACCACCATTAACCATCGAAGCTTCTGGCCCCCTGACCCCTGCATCCAATCCTGCCTACCCCTCTGCCCCACACTGGCACCCCGGGCCCACAACCCATCGATTCGGTTCCCAGGAAGGCCTGGTGTGGGGGCAAGACTGGCGCCACCAGACCAACCTCGAAGACCCCTCCAGTGCCCACCCCGCCAGGCACAGTGTCCCCACCGCCACTCTTGTCTCTCCTGACGTGCACCCCTCTGTGCCCTCCGGTTGCAGAACAGGGTGGGGCGGGGCGAATGTGGTGGCCAGGAGCAGCACCCATAAAGATAAAGGACTCTGAAGGAGAGGAGACCAAAGTCTGGCCAGAGGGTAAGACCCACTCGACGGAGGTGGCTTGTCCCTGATGAAGAGCAAATAGCGCTGAAGAGGAAGTTGGGGGGCCCCTCATCCTCCCGGCCTTCTCAGGGCTCGGAGAGACCTGAGCACCGCAGAGTGGGGGAACCGAGGCGGGGGAGGGGCTAGTCCAGGCTCACACAGCCAGGCGGGTGGAACAGGGAGTTCACCTGCCCCGGGCACAGTGAACAAGGGCCTGAGTCACGGGCCGGTCCGTGCCCTTTACTCACTAAGGACCCGGTGCCCCTCAGGTCCCCACACGGACAGCGGCGGAGGGCCATAGCACGCCAGTTTTATTATACGAGATAAGAGAACCGCACAAAGCAGCCGCACGGCGCCCGCCCGCGCACAGAAGACGCACAGGTGCCTCCCGTCTGGTCTGGAGTCCTCACGCTGGGCCTGGGCTCCCTGCCCCCAACTTCTTTCCGGGCGGGAGGGGAAGCGGGGAGGAGTCTCGCCTCCCCCAGGAAGACCCCCTCCCTGCTGTGACTTCCCCCACTCTCAGCCTGTGTCTCCAGGTGCAACCCCAAGGCATGCCCCCTCTCCTTCCAGGGAAGTAGAGCTTCCTCTTCCACTCTGCACCACCTTCCTGGTGACAGTGCTTTGCAGGGAGTGACCGGCTGCCCGGCCTGCTGACTCAGCGCCTGGAGCTGGGGCTTGCATAGCAACAGGCTCGGGCCCTGGGCAAACAGAGCCCTGGGCAGCCACACCCCCACCACAGGAATGCCGCCGGATTCCTGGGGGTGCGGTGGCACCAGGCCCGCCGCTGGGGGTGGGGCAGGTAGGCACCTTCCTCTGCCACCTTGGCTCCGG